ACTAATATAAATTCAAAGTAAACATCATTACATAAAAGGGTACGTGCTGGAGTCCAACCCCAGCAGGTCCAGGGGTCCCCAAAGGTGTGGACAGAGTCGGTGAAAAAGGAATGACACAAAGACAGCGTTCAGTTGATCAGCAGCCTAGTCAGGACCTCTAGCCAGGATGATCTTCAGCCAAAGTTCTGGTTAGGAACTCCAGCCAAGCTCTGGTTAGGATCTGGTTAGGATCTGATCAGGATCTGATGAGGAGCTGATGTTTATTGTCTTGTTACATCCGTATTTATACCAACCATTTTAATCCTGTCAATTTCTATTACAAAGGTTAGGGCGTTTCTTATCTCCATTCCAGGGAGTAAAGATTATGTAGTTTAACTACCCGCCTGGCACTTAATTAAGGGGTTGTATCTCCTCCCTAACCTCAGGGAAAAATCCCCACCTGGGGAAACAACCTTTCTCGGAGAGGTGACCTTGGTTAAAACACATGGCGCTAAGGAGAGCAAACATATTAAGAACAATATGCTATATATGCCAGGTCCCTTGAAACATATGCTGTGCAGATGTTTCTTTCCTGCAGCGATTGTGTCAAGCAGCAAGGATGGACTGGCTTCTGTCAGGTACGGTCTTTTTTTTTTTTTAGTTTTATTCATTTCAAACAGGCCAGATCTGGCCCGCGGGCCATAGTTTGCCCACTTCTAGTCCCTTCCCCCATTGATTTGGGGGAACAGAATTGGAGAATGCTAACTGCAGCTTCCTGGCAAAGCTGTATAAATGGCATGCCTATATCATCTAGTCTCCCCTTGGTTCCTTTTCTGTTAAATAATAACCAGGTTATTTAACAGTATCAAAGGGACTGCATAAAATTATGAGTATAATGTCTTTCTGTCTAAACACCTTCATCATGTAAGATGTCCCCGCTGTCTACAAAGTCCCTGAAGAGGCAGTTTACACGTAACACGGGTGTTAAATATAACCTACTACTTTGGCTTTTTACCTTTAGAATTAGATATAGTCATTCGCTTAAGAAGACAACAGAAATTGTTCCTGCTTATGTGCTAGTGAGGAAAATAAAATATAGGGGTGTATTCTAGCCTAAGTCAAGGTTAACAAGTTTTGTCTTCTATTACTCAAAGGATTGCCAAGTCTAGCTGGGAATATGACCTGTGTCATAACCTCACATCTGCTAAATCCTGAAAATAACCCATTCTGGGTCTAATATCCAGACAAATAGCACATTCTCATGATTTATGTTTGGCATATCTGCAAGTATTCATGAACACTGCCAGAAAAATAAGTTATTCTTATAGGAATTTTTAGAATTAAAATCATTTCCTTAGTTATGGTTCTTATGTACAGATATAATGTAATGAGCCAGGAAAATTTGTGGGCAAAGTAAGTTCTTAATTGGGTTGATCACATATTTGTAAAATATTAACCATCCTAAATAATAAAACCCTAATATGCAAATTGACCAAACAGTGGAACAACCAGTTGCTTTGACATGCACTGACCACCAGGGGGCAGATGCTCAATGCAGGAGCTGCCCCCTGGTGATCAGTGTGCTTCCACAGGGGGAATGATGCTCAGCCAGAAGCCGGGCTCATGGCTGGCGAGTGCAGCGGGGTGGCAGGAGCCTCTCCCACCTATGCTGCAGGCAGGCAGTAAGGAGTGAGGGGTTCCAGACTGTGAAAGGGCCCAGGCCAGGCTGAGGGACGCTCCCCCCCCCCCCCACACACACACACACATACAATGCACAATATTTTGTACACCAGGCCTCTAGTAATTTTATAATGTGCTCTTAAAAGTCAAAAGAGAAGGAAATACCAGAATTACAACTTTAATAAGAGGCAAGAGGAAAATTTTCTCAGTTATAACTGGGTGTTATATACAAAGTTTATCATTAATATTATAAATAAAAAGTGACTGCATTGGTATTCTTCATTTAGACCCTGTATTTTTTAAAAGGAGATTCTGGTGGCATTTTGCTAATTATGAGTCATATTATAACTAAAACATGGTTCTTAAAAAGAAAAGAAGGCAGAAAAAAAAACCCTCTGATTTAATCAATTCAGTTTTTCAGATTTTAACACCAGGAATATAAAATCTCATTACATTACATGAAAAGCTGAGTAATTTACAACTAGCTGTAAAAATAAAGACATATAAATGTCAGAATTACTTCTTTAAAAATCTGTCATTTGAGTACCATTTAAAAGTGAAAATTTTATAAAACTAAAATAGATTGTATAAAGCTTAAAGAAAATTTGGTTGAATTTTCCCCCTTAATTTAAATATTGATATAATTCTGCTTATATTTGAGGTAAAATTAAGATTTATATCATGATAACCCTTTCTTGAAATCAAAACATGATTTTGTTGGTTGTAAATATTGAGTAACAATAGAGCTCACCAAATATTCCAGCTACTGCCTCATATTCTGCCCCCCCGCCCCGACATTAGTGGGCATACAAGCATCTTCAACTATTAAACTGTGAGCAAACATAATATGAGTTATTTCTTGGCCTAAGAATATAAACAAACTAATTAGCAATACTTTAACTGTTTCTTCCAAAGCCACAGTGATTCAACAATTCACATGTTGCAGTTAAGGTGCTTAAATATTGCCTTAGTCACTTTATGTGTAATTCATTTTGTATTCTCAGCTACCTTACGGAATAGTGTTATAAATTAGGAATTTGAGGATAAAATTTATTGTCACTGGCATGATGGACATCGTGATTAAAATAATGTCTTGAGATCAAACAGAAAACATTCTAGTCCTGTCTTTATAATTTACTTCTTATGTGATCTTGGCCAGGTTACCTAATATCTTACAATCTCAGATAGCTTTATCTGAAAAAGGAGAATGATTATAGCGCCTCCCTGTAGGATTGTAGTGGGATTAACATATTATAAACACTCAATAATGGAGAGCTATTTACCTTATATTGTTAAAAACCCAAGGGCTGTTTGAAATCTTTTAATCTTTTATATCCTGTTAGTTTGGTCAAGACACAGGGGAAATCAGTTTTAAGATGGGGCATCTTTAAGTGACAGAATATCAGGTAAAATCAAGTTTCCCAGCAAGGCACAGCTAGAAATCCTTATTTGAATTACATGAATAGCATTCTTTCTTTGGTTGTTGTTGTTGTTGTTGTTGTTTTTGTTGTTGTTGTTGTTGTTGTTGTTCTTCTTCTTCTTCTTCTTCTTAATGTGGGCAATACACTTTACTACTCTTGTCTATAACTAAAACATTGCAGAATTATCAATTCTGGGTCTCATACGAAATTTTTAGAAAATATTTGTTTTTATCCCTTTGTCCATTAAAAATAAAAACATTTTGAGGAAGTAAAATGGAGGTGTGATAGGAGTTTCATTCTTAATATTCCTTTGTTAAGATGTCAGGGAGTTTTTGAACAATATTTGTACCTAAGAATAAGAAGGTGGATAAAGGTGAGCTTTCTAAAATGACTAAGACTGCCACTTGTCTATGTAAATCTTTCATTTTTTAATTTCCTCAAGAATAAGATTTCAATAATTTTAGCAATGAGTATTTTGATCTATTCTTGAAACCTAGTATGCCTTTCATTAAATTTAGTTTTAAATCCTAGTACTAAAACTCATTTCCCCTCCCAACCCCCCCAGAGACCTAACCTTTCCCCCAGAGGATCAGCAACTCCCAAGGCAACAGAAAACAGTAGCCTGAACCTAAAAATAACATCTTGACTCAAGTTATGTTTCTGCTCCTGAGCGCTTAGGTAGAACAACCTCCTGGATACTTTCCTGTGAGACCAAACAGAGGGATGTGGGGTCAGACCTCAGAAAAATCCTCACCTCCAAGCAATCAGCTCCCAGCACGACTCAACACCCTAACTCCAGGGGGTCTTGAGATTTGTCCACTACACTCTGTAACCTACATTCCCTCAGTAAGTCAGAGCTTATATGCCAATTCAGTGTTCAACAATTTTTCTTTCTATTCTGCAAATTCCTGTTCATGCATTTCTTTGGGTCAGTGCATGAATCCACACAGACTTAAATAAATAAATAAATAAATAAATAAATAAATAAATATCCCAGTAACCATCTCTGTTGATTCTTCAGGCCCACTCCCCATCTTTTTTCCTAGCTAGTTCCATATTTACATATCTCTCCTGTCACTACACTTGCCATTGCAGACCTGGGAATTATAGCAAATAACCCAAGTGTGAATGGAGCCATTTTCAGGGATGAGTAAAGAAGTTGTTCAGAAAGTAAACCCCGATAGTCTGTAGAGAGCAGTCCAGCAGAGACAAGCTGGCAGAAACCTGGAGAAAGAGCATTTAAGCGTTTGGATCTAGCCTTAAATGAAATTCATAAGTATCACATCGGAATTTCCATATACAGAAGACAAATAGGTCCTTTCATTTGCAACTCTACCTATTGATATAGAGTTTCATTTCTCTATTCCCCTATTCCCCTACCCCTCTACCCCCAGTGTCCTTAAGGTGGGGACTCTACACTTAATGTGCATGAGAATCCCTACAGAAGCCTGTTAGTTACAGATTTGGGACTTTACTCTTAGAACGCATAGTGAATCATTTTAGGAAAAACCCCAGAAACATATACTTTTTTAGCCTTATCCCATGCATTTCTTATACATCTGAAGGTTTCCATACCTTAAGGAAAACTAGCTGTAAGGCTTAATAAATTATGTAATTTAGTAGTACTTAAGAAAAAACAATAATAATGCCCAATGTGAAATATTAGCTCTCCTTCTTATTACTGAAAGTATATACTCAGTAATATTTGCTTTACTCAATCAGATTACTGGAAATATGCAACCAATAACTGTATTTTTAGAGAGGCATACTTCTGATCAATAACCATTGGTTGTCTTTAGCTAACACTCAACACCAGTGCACACTAACAAATGGTCACTGAAATTAATGACTTCATTTTGTACCAGGTTCAGGACAGCTGTTCCAGAATCTTCTAAGGTGAACTTAGACTTCTCACCGCTGATGGCTGTCGTGGCCTATGCCATCACACCACCTGCTCAGCAATCACTCCCAGCAGCTGCTGTTCTTGGCACCATCTGCCTGGCGATCTCTTCATCCATCTGTCCTTCTCCTTGGCACTGCTCAAGTTACAGCACATTTCACTCTCCGCTCCTAAACAGAGGAATTCCCAAGTCATTCCTCCTTTTAGATTTAGGAAAGCCCTTTGTGGAAGATCCATAGGACTATCTTTCCCTTTTGTCTCCCACTTAAAAATTTCATACTATTAATGATTTCTTAAATTTGAGGGGAACTTGGTCTTGTTGGCCACAGCAGAAATACAGACCTTCACAAATGCAATTATAATGATAGTTGGTGTTCAGATGATAATAATAATAAATAATAACACTAATGACAATAGAATTATTTTAGTTACTTATATTTTATTTCAGTAAATGTGTAGGAAATGGTAGTGTATAAAGTACCTTCACAAATATTGTCATTATTGAAGCATAACCCATTAGAGATTTATTTCAGGATTTGCTAATGTTCATCCTAAAGGAAAGAAACCAAATACTTAAAATGAGTCACTAACAATTTCCTTCTAAGTCACTCTTTTCTGGAAGTTAAAGCCCATATTGTCATGTAGGTTCTAGATTTTAAGATATCAAAGTACCAATACTAGTGCTGCATAATCCAGATAGGAAGGTCTCTCCCTTTCCAGAGTTGAATTCAAATTCAAAAAATTACTTTCACTTTATTCTGTGCATGACAGATGTTTGGATTTCTTAGGGTCTAGAGAATTTTCAGGTGGGCGAGCCCCAGTTTCCAGGCAAGTTTAGAGGTAGAGAACCTTGCAATACAGAGAACGTTGCAGCATGAACACAATTTCACTGAGCAGTATAAAGAAACAATCAGCTTCAAATGGACTGATTTGGCAAGTTAATAGGTTGAATCTTGCCCTCAAGATGTTATAGCCATGATGTATGCAACTGATTTTATAGATGTATCATTTTATAATTATGTTTCATATATAGATGCTGGCTTCTTCTTTTACTGTGTTTAAATATTTGTGTGTGTGTTTTTAAGTTTTGGTAGCCAACTTCTAGTGACATAATTTTTTTAAGATTTTGTTATGGGCAATGTCAGCTCTTGGTTCTTGAGTTTAGCAAAAAAAGAATGCAGAACCAAGAACTCTAGCACAAGAGGACATTAATTTAGCTTGCAAAACAGAAGTACATTGGAAGAGAAGATTTGAGCAGGCTGTTCAGAGAGCTGCCTTGGTCTCATAGAAAGAAAGTCACAGAGGCAGACAAAGTAAGCCAGCTGGGCTGGGAGGACTCAGGAAACAAATTACAGAGGCAAAATAAGGGCCCTTGGAAATAGGGTCAGGGGGTGAGCCCAGGATGAGCTACCACTGCCCACTGCTCCCCTGGTTGCAAGTCTCATGGGGACCCTTAAAGCTTAGAAAAAAGAAAACAAAGATGCGTACCTCCAGACAGAGGGCACAGGCATGCTCTAGCAGTGGTCGGCAAACTGAGGCTTGGCAAACCAGGGCTCACAAGCCACATGTGGCTCTTTGGCCCCTTGAGTGTGGCTCTTCCACAAAATACCGGCTCTTCCACAAAATACCACAAAATACCGGCTCTTCCACAAAATACTGACTTCTGTGCATGGGCCACGAAGTATCAATCGCACTGTATGTGTGTGCCCGCATGTGGTATTTTGTGGAAGAGCCACACTCAAGGGGCCAAAGAGCCGCATGTGGCTCCCGAGCGGCGGTTTGCAGACCACGGCTCTAGAGAGAGAGCAGGCACTGGGTCCTTTGTCTTAAGGCTTATGATCTGTTTTCTAAAGGCAGGGAATTTAGAGGATGCCTCAGGTGAGGATTTCAATAGGATACTCATAGGCTTTCCAGGGGTGTCCTTTAATGTGCTGATCCATCAACATGAGCTATAGGGTCCGAGTCCTGGTCTCTACCGATTGGTTGGCGCAAAGTAAGGGGTCACTGGTCATTGTATCTGGCCCAGATGCCAGCCGTGGCATCGCTCCATCTGGTTTTGCTGCTTTTCTGGGCCTGGAGCCGAAACACAGCTGATGCCTAGATGTTATCTCTATAGTTTGCTCAAAACTCTGTCTCTGTGGTCAGCAGACCGGAGACCTTGTTCCTAAGATTATTTGATGCTGATGAGAACCTCGTTGTCCTGAGGGCTTAATGCTCACAGGAGTGCTGTGCAAGGCGAAGGAGGCAGGTGAGTCCGGGTGTTGGCTGGGGCAAGTTTGAATCAGCTATTGTCTCAGTTTCCCTATCCCACTTGCCAAGGAGTTTTCCTGGCTTCTTACTATCTTGCTTCAGTTTTTTCTTTTTTACAGGCATCTATTTTAACAAACATGATATGCTTATGAGCACATTATTCTTCAGCCATCCATCCAAGGGTTTTCTGGGATAGTTCCAATCAATTCTATCATGTTGTTATATCATATGTTAAACCAATGTGTCTTGGTTTTTGGTTTTAGAAAAAAAGCCATTGCAGATTATTTCTTACTCTGCTAAGAAGCTTAAACATAAAAAGAACAATGTATGAAAATAAGAGAGGTGAGCAGAAGCAGCCAACTGGCATCCATGCTTGAGGCTCACATGCCAATCAAGTTATTCTTTGCTTTCCAACACTTCCCAATTTTTTAAAAAACACGTATTTGAGGCTGGATGGCAACTCTATAAGAAGACATCGATGACATAAATACAGACAGCATTGTGTTGGGTAGAGCAATGCCAGGAATTGACAGGCCCAACAGTTAAACCAAAGCAATTAAGTTTCCACAAACACTTGACTTGGTGTTGAATCAACACTCTTCTTGATAAACAGCAGTGTGGCAAGCGTAACTGACAAATCATACATTTCCAATATATAAACTGCGCTGGTTTGACAAAGTAATGCAACTCTTTTCCAGCTTTCTTTTTAGAGTAGGGGAGAAAATAAGTTTCTCAGTAATTTGTGCGTTTTCCTTCAGTGATCATACAAAATTCTCTTTCTGAAAAATGCTTAATGATTTCTGGATGAGCTTGGCATGCTTCCAGCTTAATACCATCTTCCTCCAACAATATGCTTGCGGCTATTGGTGATTGATTTTTAAATGACATTTAGTACAGCGATGCCACAGACCGTTTCCCAGGCATTCATTAAGAGCACTTTGGCAAGGCCAGAAAACTCCGTCTCAAGAGCCTGCAACCTTTCTCTTGTTTTTTATTTTATACCCCCCACCTCAACACACAACACAAAATAACTCGTGAGTACACACTCTTTACCTTATTTTGTTTTGTTCTCTTGTTGATATTCAATTGGCCTTTCTCAGGAAAGATCTGAGGAAAATTTTTATTAAATAATAACGTCGTCTTTCTCCCAACGAACAAAGGCCTTATCCAAAATGGAAAAAAAAAGATACAAGCAAGCCATGTAGACAGAGACATCACTATAAATGGCAATGCACTCGTAGACACAGACATTTGCCAAGTTTTCAGAATAATAAACTAAGTAAAAAAAAACTGAATATACTTGGTTTTGAAGTGATTTTCTACTCTCACATATGGTTTCTGTCTGGGTAACAGTGTCCTTTGCTTTAAAAGTCTTATTTATTTATCATTGTCTAGTGCAAATGACATCTAGAGTATTTAGTGTTTTACTATTTGGTGTGATATCCTTTGAGTATTTTCGGACTCTTCAAGGCAGTTAGTTGCTTCCACATCACTTCTGGACCAATTTATATTAGAATGTTCCCATCTTGCAGGTAGATTTCCTACGGAGCAAGAAGTTCCATAGGAAAATGGACTCTTTACCTTTTAATCCCCAGATTCTCTGGTATTTATAGTGCAGTTTCCATAAATGCACTTTATGCATTATGTGCCAGGCAGTAGATTACAAATTGCATGAGATTGTGGCTTATATGTTCGGTTATTCTATGGATCTGCAGTGTCTAGAAGGGAGCTTGGTTCATATTAATACTGCAACAAATATTTATGGAATGGATGCATGCCTGCATGTAATAATGCTGATAAGCTGCCTCTCTCCTCTGGGCCATGGGGTCTCTATCCCTTTCAGAGCTTTTGCTATCTGATCATGGCTCCGCTGAACCATGTAGCTAATCTTTGCAGCTTGTCCCAAATATGGGCATTTAAAAGCAATGAGGTCCTTTAAAGACATTGCCTTGATTATAAACTGTAAATGCAACAACAATCATAATTCATAATCTTCACAAGCCCTAAAGTTGCTCTGATTATTATGCTGCATGGGGTGACCAGGCTGGTGGAGAGGCCATGAGGGGCAACCAGGCCAGCAGGAGGGGCAGTTGGGGGCAATTAGGCTGGCAGAGGGGTCAGTGAGGGGTGACTAGGCCAGCAGGGGGAGCAAGTTAGGGGCAATCAGGCTGGCAGAGGGGAGCAGTTGGGGGCAACCAGGTCGGCAGGGGGGCAGTGAGGGTTTTCCAGGCCAGCGGGGGAAGGGGGGCAGTTAGGGGCAAACAGGCCAGCGAGGGGTGGAGGGGGAGTTAGAGCTGACCAGGCAGATATGCAGATTAGGAGCCAGCGGTCCAGGATTTTGAGAGGGATGTCCTACTGCCAGTTTAGGACCAATCCTTGGGATACCCTCCAAGGGGTCCTGGATCGGAGAGGGTGCAGGCTGAGCTGAGGGGACTCCCCTCCGTGTGCATGAATTTCATGCACCGGGCCTCTAGTTAACCATAAAGAAAGATTAAACTGGAGACATTTAAATTAATATCTTCGGTTTGACAAAAGATATAATTAAGAGAGTTCAAAAAGTAAGCCACAGACTAAGAAAATATATTTGCAGTATATACATTGACAAATACTTCATATCAAGAACATATAGAGAATTTCTACAAATCAATAAGATACAATCAAATTAATTACAAAAATGGGCAAAAGATTTGACAGATATTTCACCAAAGATGGTAACCAAGTGGCTGGTAAACATATAGAAATGTATTCAATATCATAGTCATTATTAGACAAATACAAATTAAAAGTTATGATATATACCATTACACAAACATAATGGATAAAATCTAAAATAAATTTAAAAAAAGACTGAGAATACTAAATATGGGTGAGGCTATGAAGATGGGAGAAAAAATATACAATTTTTTATGAATCATTTGGAAAAAGATTTGATGGTATCTACTGAAGGAAAACATATGTATACCATATGACCCAATGATTCTACCCTTGAATATATACTCAAAACAGTGAATAATAATATGTACAAAAGACATATGCATAACATGTCATAGAAGTTTTATTCACTAATGTTCACTAATAGAATGGGTAAGTAAATTATATTGTTAATGTACAGTAGAATACTACATAGCTATTAACAAAAATAAACTTCACATTCAACATGGATTCAAGCAAAAGAGAGTATTTATTAAAAATATATTTTTTATTTATATGAAGTTTCAAAACTGATAAAACTAACCATTGTTATAGAAATCAAAATGGTTTTTACTCTAGAGAGTTACTGACTGAAAGGGGAAACCAGCGATTTTCTTGGCTGCTGAAACTGTTACATATATTGTTTTTGGTGGTAGTTACATGGGAATGTACATACTTACAAAGTTATCAATCTCTACACTTAATACTTATGTACTTACTAAATGTAAGTTCTACCTTAGTAATTTTTTAATTGACAAACTCACCGAGGCAAAGAAGATAAAAAGACTGGCACTATATTCCTTATAATGTCTATTCTTATGAAGTCTTTGGCTAAGACAAGGCTGGGACTGTTGTTCCTGTAGGTACTTTCTGAAACAGTCCTGGTCTAACCCTTTAATCTGTCCGAATGCATACCTAAGGGCATGCCAGAGGGCAGTACTCAATTTTCCTCAGTTTTTTTCTCATTTTTGATCTTTCCTTCAACTAATTATAGCTTGAAAATATCCAAGTTCTGTTTATATATTAATGAAAATACATCCTGAAACAGCCATGTAAGGAAATAAATTTAAATACTGTGTCAAATTTCTAGTATTATTATCTGAAAATATTTTTAAGAGTTTTGGCTTGAAATTGCCTATTGGGTGTAAAATAAGTGTGAGTGGGGATTGATGATAAAGCCAGTGAGGTGATGATCCCTCTGCTGCTTCTGAAATACTTCTGTTCAGAAAAGCTGCCTTTGGCCCTGGGCAGTAGCTCAGTTGATTAGAGCATCATCCTGATATGCCAAGGTTGTGGGTTCCATCTCCAGTCAGGGCACATGCCAAGGTCAGCCTACAAATGCATAGAAAGTAGAACAGTAGGTTAACATCTCTCTCTCTCTCTCTCTCTCTCTACTCTCTCTCTCTACTCTCTCTCTCTCTCTCTCTCTCTCTCTCTCTCTCTTTCTCTCTCTCTCCCTCTCCCCCGCCCTCTCCCTCTCTCAAATCAATAAATAAAATTAAAAAGAAGAAAAGCTGCCTTTATCTCAGTACAAGTACCTATAATGTCTAGGTTAAAATGACCTACTTAAGTCCTAGATTTGCAGACCTCCAGGTAATGGAGAACCATTTGGACTTTTCTGGAGGCCTGGCCCAAATCCTGCCCTTATTCTCTAGGGAATAAGCCGCTGTCTGGGTCCCTGGAATCCCAACCTTGGACCCACTTGTTTTTCCACGCCCACAACATCTCTATGTCTGCCTCTTCATTACTTCTGCAGGATTGCTGTTTGCCTCAATCTCTGCCTGTTCCCTATCATTTTTTCATCCCTCAGGCCCCACCTTTTGACTCTGTGTCTGAGTGAGAGTCCAAAACTTGCACTTTCATAACAGTTCTGAGCCAATGATGACAGCTTCAGAACGACCTGGACTCAATCCTCATTCTAAAATGCTTAACGTACTACTGATGCCCAAGCATTAACCTTTATCTTCATGGTTTGACTCAGTTGCTCCAGGTAGATATTGAAACTTCACATAAACAATGTATTCATAGCATTACTTACAGAGAAAAATATTAACAGCCTAAAATCAAACTTTAGCCAATATTTTATTAAGTATAGTATAAGTCATTCACATAATCAAAATAATGCTCATAATAAATTATGACAGAAATTCTGGGGGAAAGTAGTAAACAACATTTTGTAAAAATTATGTATTTATATGTAAATCTAAGCAGTAAATTTGTCCATAAGGGGAAAAAAAGATTTAAAAGACAAAATCTTTAAATTGTCAATACCAGTGGTTTAATTGATGTGAAATAAATAATATTTTTGGTACATCTTAAACCACTTATAACAGGCTTTTTGAGGTATAATTAAGATCCACTTTAGTGTATACCATAAAACATCATAACAAAATAATGAGCATGCACACCACCCCCAAAACACTTCCCTCAGAAAATGCAACAACAGAAATTATAGACAGCCTCATCATGGAGCCTAACTTAAATAATAACACCTTATGAATATATAAATGTGTATATAAATAATTACACATATATATGTTGCTATAAATGAAAAAAATATATATATATAATCAACCTACTATATTTAAGTAGCTCTTTTTTATTTTTTCTTCAATTAACTTAGGGGGAGAAATTATGTTTTTTACTGCATTTTTTGAGAGTTAAGTAATAGAATAGAATGCCTATTTTATCTTCTATGTCACTATATTACTATAAATCTTGGATTTTGAGGATATGTGATGTTTTGGAGGGATAAAGAGAGAAAAGGAAAGAAAAAGAGGACTAAAGAACAATAAAGGCAAGATTGTTTCCATGTGCACGGTCCCTGATGTAATTTACAAAATTCCCATGATATTGAACATGTTTGACTGTGCGCAGGGGAAACTTAATGTGTTTTTTGGAAGTTTTTCTCAAAATGAGAATAAAATTGTTTGCCTTTTTTCCCCCCCTTATCACTTAGCAGGATGGAGTCAAAAATAAACTTGGCAAATTGTTAAAAAAAAAAAAGGTGCCAACCAAATTTAATAACCTATACTTATTCATATCCTAAAGCAACCTCTATTGAATATAAATAAAGAAGAGGGAATACTAATTCTGATTTTCCTGACTCGCAATGACAATAATCAGATGTTACAGAATATCTCTAAATCGTATACATAACTTACTGGTAACCAGTAAGGCAATAGAGAATTCAAATGTAATCCTTTTGTGCTTTTATATTAATTTCCTGTTGCCACTTTAACAAATTGCTAGAAACTTAGTGTCATAAAATAACACTAATTTCTTATCATACATACTCTCTGGAGTTCTGGAGGCCAGAGTTCCAAATGGGCCTGGCTGAGCTAAAATCGGGATTCAGCAGGGAGGGTCCAGGCCGGATCCATGTCCATTCCTATTCTTACTGCCCGAGGGAGCCCTTATTCTTTGGTGATGGTCCCTTCCTCCATCTTTGAAGTCAGCAGTGGCTGGTCAAGTCTTTCTCATGATTTATTGTTGACACTGCCTCCCTCTTCCACATTTAAGTATCTTCCTGATCACATTGAACTCTCATGGATAATCCAGGATACTCTCCCTGTTTTAAAATCAGCGGATTAGCAATTTGAATTCCATCTGCTTAATTCTCTCATGTCACATAATGTAACATATTCAACAGTTCCAGGAATTAAGACACTAAGTCTATTATTCTTCCAACCACAGTTCTGTCTTTACCTCTTGATCCCAATGACTAACATATTAAACCTTTCAATAGTCCTGCTGGTTTCTTTTTTCAGGAAATGCAAATATATGTAAAAGTGGTTTTAAAAAAAATCTTATTACGAAACTTTATCTCAGGAGTTGACAGTAATCTAAAATTATGTTACTTTTCTTTCCAGGATAAAAATGAAACACTTCTTATTTTTGGCTGCTGCTGCTGGATTTCTGCCTGGTTTGATTATAAGAATATGTGGGGTTTGTATATTTCATAATTATTTTCCAGAAGAAATAGAGCTAACCCTGTAGTACACTCACTTTGTTACAGGCACTATGTGAGGATGTTATGTCTACTATTCACCTAGTTCTCACCATCGCCCTATTAGGCAAGTACTATTCTTTTATTTTGTTTTGTTAATCCTCACCAAGGATATTTTTTTCCCATTGCTTTTTAGACAGAGTGGAAGGGAGGAGAGAGAGAGACAAAGAGAAACATCGATGTGAGAGAGACATATTGATTGGTTGCCTTCTGCCGGTGCCCTGACCAGGGCCTGGGATTAAATCTGCAACCCAGGTATGTACCCTTGACCGGGAATTGAACCCGAGACTCTTCAGTGCACAGGCCCAGGCTCCAACCACTGACCCATACTGGCCAGAGCAGCAAGTACTATTCTTAATCCCTCATTACAGAGAGAGGTTAAGTCATGCAGCCAAGGTCAGATAACTAGGACGTGGCAGAGCTTGAAAGTACCCCTAAGTAGTCTGATCCCACGGGCCCATGCCTGTGTTATTATAATCCCTCTGGGCAATTCAAAAAAAGCTGAGAATGTAGGGCAAGAATTACTTATTTATCCATGTATTTTCCATGACTAAATAGGGAAAAAATACTGTTCTGTTGACCCAGAAAAGGTAACTATTCCATTAATATCCAAACTGAGCTATCTGGTTTGTAACTATAGCAAGATTGTAACATATTAAAAGAAACTAGGAAATTAATGATGCCAACAGCAAAGTGAGAAGAGTCAGGAGCAATTAGCAATGGAGTGAATATATAAGGCCTGAATCTCACTACTTATTGAAAACAAGAACTTCAACAGTCAGAAACAGAAACAAAATGCTCAATGGTATAATTAGGAAGAAGTCCCATATATGTTGTGCTCACCCACTAATGTGTACCTCTAAATACCTCAGTGATATGAAGAAAATATGACATTTTTAATGTTCCCCAAATTAGTTTTATTATAAGCTGAAGTCAATAGCTTCAGTATAGAAAATGGTTTTTATATTTTTATATGCTAGATAGGATAAATCAGATGTGTAATATAAATAAGCTGCTCTTTATTGCAATTAATGGTAACCTAAAATATTAAGGATATTTATTTTTCTTCTTGGTGAGTTGCAGATAAAAGGTAAACAATTTTTTAAAAGTCACAAATTGTGGATTATGGCTGATTTGAATCTTATATTAAATATATTTTTATTGATTTCAGAGAGGAAGGGAAAGAGAGAGATAGAAACATCAATGAGAGAGAATCATTGATCAGATGCCTCCTGCACGCCCCCTAGTGGGGATCAAGCCCACAACCTGGGAATATACCCTGACCAGGAATGGAATCATGACCTCCTGGATCGTAGATTGCCACTCAACAACTCAGCCACAGCAGCCGGGCTTGAATCCTACTTAAAACTTAGAGATGCAAATATTAATGTTTTCTCATATGAATAAAACATACATGGTAGTAGTTTTTATCTGGGAAGCAAAGAGAACACGCGGAGGTGTGGTGGGGAATCAGCCAAGGAAGCAAAGTTAGTCAGTAAAAGGTTCGCTACCAAGATTATTGTGGTTCATATTGCCCAATAACAAGTACTTCAATGTGGTCCAAAGTACCAATTATAAAGTTCAAAAATCCCCACCACAGGCTATTGCACTATTCTATAGACTTGTATAACATCATACTGACATTCAGAAATCCTCAAAACCAGCACTGAAGATATGGAAAGTAACACATAGAGATAACAAATTGTAAAATGCTGCTTATCATTATTTATTCAATATAAACTATGAATTAAAATTGTGTATAGGCCTGCACATAACACATTGTACTTGAAAAATTGCACTTTGAAGAAGTAAGACTAATTAATCATTTTCTGGTAACAGGTAAATGCAGGTAAAGTTTCATATGAGTCAGTCCTTACTTGGTCACTATCTGTCCAAAAAGAAATTATTGATTTACATAACACCATCAGGAGAACAGTGATTCCATCATCCAGCAACATGCTGAAAATGGTAAGATTAATTAAAAAGCGATAGCAATGATGAAAATAATAACAATGGTGCTTCCTGAGCTTTTATTAAGTTCTATTCACTTTCAATATGCTGCAAGTCAGGTCTTCATAAGCAAACCTATGGCCTAGCAGAAGAGAAGCTCAGAGAAGGTAAGCAATTTCCCCAAATCCTACTGTTAGTAAATGACAGAGCAACAATTCCAACTCAGACAGCCTGGCTTCATTCATACTGTGCCCTGGGACAGTTCTCTCAAACTCGAGTGTGCCTAAGGATCGCTTGAAGAACTCAGTACAGCACAGGTCTCTGAGCCCCGCTCTCTGAGACCTTGATTTAGGAGGTCTGGGGTAGAGACCAGGGCAAGTTCCCAGTGGATGCTGACGCTGCCAGTCAGTGTTGTTAGTATAGCAATCTTTGCCTACAAGTTATTGAGGTCTTTCATAGCTGTCATCAATGGTAGGACACTCTTCTGAGAATAAAGATGTCCAGATTCTAAGCCGGGTGATGCTGTCAGGTAAACAAAATACCGACAAATCTATTTTCCAGTTCCCTTGCATCTCATGAAAAGAGAGAAACTGTCTTTCCACTAGAAACCAAAAGCTATCTCAGGCATTGTTATACTGTAAGTGCTGCCACTGACACGCCTATGGTGCTTACACTGACAGGCACTCTCCTAGAACCTACTATGTTAATTCATTGAATTCAATAATTCGGTGGTTAGATACTATCATTTCCATTTTACAAATGGTTAATTTGAATCTCAGAGAAATGAGGTAGCTTCTCCAGTCATCAGCACTGCATCAGTACAGAGTCAGTACTGCAAATAGCCAGCTCCAGGCACCCGCTCTTACTTAGATACTTCCCTTAGGATGAACATGGTCCGAACTCCTTGGTTTCTAGATGAGCAAATAAGTGTAGCGAGGAGGTTATAGAGTAAATAGAAAATATGGCCACTACTATATGTTATTATTGTGGATTAAGGTTTATATAATGGAAACAGACTATAAGAATGGCTGTATTCTCGTGCTAACTACAAAGGTGTGAGAGAGCAACAAGATGACAAGTTAGGCGCACCAGTAAAGCTGGGTAACATTTTAAAGGGAATATGGGAATCGAGCTGTCCCATAAACAACTCACAGGATCTGGATAGAAAGAAACTGATAGAATTACAGACAGTATGGCTGAAGTACCCATCACCACTGCCAGCCAGGGATTAAAAAAAAAAAAAGTTTCTGTATAGTGGGTAAAGGACCTGATTAAACAGAACCACTTGTCAAAACCAGAATTCATGACTTTGGTGCAATAACCATAAACACTCACTTGCTATTTTAATCAGGGATGTACTAGCATCACAAAACAGAGTATCTTGCCAACATAATGTCCTACAGAGCATCCTCAAAGAGGTCTGAACAGCAGACTCTGTGTAATGAATGCTGCCGTTAATTTACACAATAACCTAAGCTGACTCTGAGATGGAAATTATCATGCAGCATATTTATTTGGGGAACAATTCCAGGTGTACACTTACCTATGGAGGGAGAGCGAGCAGCATCGTTGGGCAAATGGAGGAATGGGATTGTGACACAGTCCGAGCAGAGGCTTTAGCTAGTCCCATGGGAAACTATCCAACTAGGACACAACCTTGCTGAGCTGTCCTGAGTTGGAGGGAAATGTCCTAGAAGTTACAGATGCCATGTGTGCTAGCTGTTGGATATGGGCTACCCCAGGGAAGGGATTATGCTCATGGATAAGGACAATTTTAGGGAGCACAGGCAATAATAGAGTTGTCTGTGGGCAGGACTCTCAGCTTAAGAGGAAATAAAAGCTTCAGTTCAAAAGGGGACCTGGGTAGTGCATCACAGTATGTATGACAAGCAATCTGTGAGTAAAAATGAGACAATATACATATAGAATTGGGTACCGATCCTGGCATGAAGTATTAGCTATAAATTTTATTATACACAATTTTATAGGAAATATGTGACACTACACTTGCTTCTAATCACAGCCATTATTTATTGATTGAACGCGCAACATAAGATTTATCACATCACAATTGTATTGCATTAATTATCATATTAAAATTTTTGAACAAACTATTTGGTATAAAGTATGGATTACATTTTACAGAGGAAGAAACTGAGATTCCAACAGACTAAATAATATGTACTCATGAGTGATGGGAAGGATTTCTAACCCTGGTATGTTTTCCAAGAAGTATTTACTTAACCTCTTTAATACTTCTGAGAGAGAAGCTACATCTGAAATGTGTTATCAAATTTTGATTTTGAAAGCATAAAGGCTAAAAGAATGAATTGAAAGTTTTGTCTTTCTCTTTCAACTAGACTATTTAAAGCAGTATAATTATTTAAATTATCTTCAATTATTTAAATTGAGTATATTTCTGGCCTTGGATTCTTAATAACAATAAATTGGAATCTTATTATGGAAATGTTAAGATCATGTGCTTGTATTTTACTCTGCCGCTGTAGAGTTGGAGTAACGAAGCTGCACGCAATGCCAGACAATTGGCAAAGACTTGTGACCTAGCACAGAGCAACGCACTTAAGAGAAGAATTTCAAGTAGGTGTATGTCTATGACTCACCTTTGTGTTCACAAGTCCTCAGGGATTGCTAAGACACCTGGAAAGTCATGCCATCTGTGTTTACATTTGCCCCATAAATGACGGTGAATTGTGGCCCGCTGTTTATAATAATACTATTTCATTATTATTAATTATTTAATTTGGATTTTCAGTGTTCAGATTCTAATTATCATAAGGAGAGAATAAAAGCTCTCAGTGTTACAGAATAGTTGAGTGATGGACACCTTCTAGCTATCCACTCTATGCAGTTATTTCAGCTACCCACAATATCACCACACCGTAAGCTTTGGAACACTAGTACAGTTGAGAAGTTATATTCAACTCTACTGAGCTTCCCAGAAGAACAATTGTAGGTGCTCAGATATGAGTCTATCTCATGGCATTTATAATAGGTCAGTCACTGTTAGTTTCCAGGAAAGCCAATGCTACTTCCTACTAATGCAGAGATTAATAATATTTATAAGATATTTTTTATCACAAAATATTAAAAAATACTAGTGAAACCTCCATATTTGCCCAATATTGTTGAGCAGTGAATTAGCAATGCGAGTCTTTCCTTCCCCAGAGAAATGCAGATCACTCCTGAATGCCATATTTGATTAGAACTCACCTCACAAGTGGGATGGCTAAGTGAGTAAGTGCTTATTTCAAGGACTTTACATGATTCATACTTTTGTGTGGCTCCTTTCAAACCATGGGCCCTGTTACAACTCATAGTCTGCTCTGACTGATTTCACCCTTCTTATCAGCTTGGAGGCGACAAAGACTGAAATGTTGATTGATTTGATTTCTAAGCCTCACACATCATCTTCTGCTGTCAATGTCTCACCAGACCTGAGCACCAGAAGTGTACTCATCCAAGAGGGAGAAGATTGCCAGCAGAGAAACCACTGAGCTCACCTCCTCTTATAAGATATTGCTTGGATAGCCAGCAAATCATTTATAAAGTAAAAATAAGGAAGTCATTCTTCTAAAGTACTTTCAAAATTTTAGAGTATGACCCAACCCTTTTCCCTTCTTTCAGATACTTTTTGTGGAGAAAATAAGCATTTGACTCCTTATCCTATCACATGGACAGATGTGATTGGAATCTGGCACAATGAATCTGAATATTTTGCGTACGGTATCTTTAGTTCAGATGATGAGCACCCAGTTGATCATTACACTCAGGTAACTTGTGAACTGGCAAATATACACATTGCTTAAGCGACTATGATCATGTGTGAAAAATAGGTGACTGATAACCAAGGGCAATCATTCTACCCACTTTTTTCAAACTTATACTTGACCTACTGAATTCCTCTTATAAGTTGCAACTCAAGGAAATGTGATTCCATTAATAGAGAATGTAGAGAGGATTTTTCCTTCTTTACATAATTTATTTTCTGGGAAGTGAAAAATAAATATTAATATACCAATGTAATTTATAAGTTATATTTTTAAAGAATGAAAATAATTGTAACAATGCCGGGAGCCGGGAATCCCCTTCTTTCCAGTTTATTTTTATTGTGGTAAAATAATCTATATATATAAAAGCCTAATATGTTAAGGGTCCCACCAGTCAGTCAACCGCTTGACCAGTCTCTATGATGTGCACTGACCGGTAGGTTAGCTTGCTGCTGGGATCTGGCCGATTGGGACTGGGTGAGACGAGCCAGACATTCCCTGGAGCCCTTCTGCAGACCCTCCCTGGCTGGCCAACCTCCTACAGTCCCTCCCTGGCAGGCTGTCCCTGATTGGCCCCGATGGGGATTGGGTGAGAAGGCTCCCATGGGCCCTGATCGGGACTGGGCAAGATGGGCCAGACACGCCCTGGAGCCAACCTCCCACAGTCCCTCCCAGCCTCTAAAATATTTCTTCTAATTAATTTCTTTTCAATGTGCATGAATTCGTGCACCAGGCCTCTAGTATACATATATATTATTAAAATTGTCATTTTAAAATTGTGTACCATTAATGTTCACTGTCATTACCTACATTCAAATTATTTTGCAACTATCACCCCTATCCATCTCCAGAATTTTTCATCTTCCCAAACTAAAACTCAGTACCCATTATATAATAACTTACCATTTCTCCCTCTCCCCTTCCTCTGGCAGCTACCAGTATACTTTCTGTCTCTTTAAATTTGACAGCTCTAGATACCTCACATAGTTAGAATCATACAATACTTGTCTTTTAATGTCTGCCTTATTTCATTTATCATAACAGGCTTAATACATGTTCATTCATGTTATAGCATGTGTTTCAACCTATTAAGGCTGTACATTATATGTACATACCACCTGTTGTTTATCCATTCATCCATCAATAGATAATTAGGTTGTTTCAACCTTTTGGCTATTGAGAATAATGTTGCAAAAAATATTGGTATACAGATATCGGTTTATATCCTGTTTTCAGTTATTTTGGGGAATATACCTGGATGTAGAATTGATGGATCATATGGTAATTCTATGTTTAATTAGTTAAGGAACTGGCATACTGTCTTCCATAGCAGCTTTATATTTTTACATTCCTGACAGCAATATTTCCAATTTCTTCACATCCATACTGTATTGGTCTGCTTGGGCTGCCATAACAAGACATTTCAGGCTGGGTGGATTAAACAACACAAAATTATTATCTCACATTTCTGGAAGCTTTAAGTCTGTGAACATCTGGAGTTTAGTCAGTTTCTGTGAGAGCTCTCTTCCTGGCTTATATGTGGCCATCTTCTCACTATGTTGCCACATGGTCTTTCTTCTGTGCATACCTGGAGAGAGGTAGGGGTGGGGAGAAGGTGCTTTCTGGTGCCTTTTATTATAAGGACACTAATCCTATATAATGAAAGGCTAATATGCAAATTGTACCCTCGGGAGTTCGACCATCCAGGAGTTCTACCACTCGCTATGGTGTGCACTGCCCACCATGGGGCGGCATGGAACAAAGGAAAGCCCTGCCTGCCAGCCGAAGGAAGGCCCAAGCTGACAGCCAGAAGGCCAGATCAGCCCTGATTGCTGGCTAGACCTAGGGTCCCTACCCATGCATGGATTTCATGCACCAGGCCTTTAGTTCTATTATATCATGGCCCCACCCTTCGGACCCCATTTAACCTAAATTAATTCCCTAGAGGCTTCTCCAAATAGAGCCATACTTCTGGATTAAAGCTTCGGAATATGAATATTGAGGAGATGTAACATTCAATACCTAACACATACACTTTTTATCCTATATAATAAAAGGCTAGTATGCAAATCGATGGAACGGCAGAACGACCAGTTGCTATGATGCGCACTGACCACCAGAGGGCAGACGCTCGATGCAGGATCTGACTCCTGGTAGTCAGTGCGCTCCCACAGGGGGAGCGCTGCTCAGCCAGAAGCCAGGCTCACGGCTGGCAAGCACAGCGGCTGTGGTGGGATCCTCTCCCCCCTCCACAGTTGTGCTAAGGATTTATGGGGAGCAGGCCTAAGCCATCAGTCAGACATCCCCCGAGGGCTCCCAGACTGCACTGCGAGAGGGTGCAGGCTGAACTGAGTGACCCCCTCAATGCACAAATTTCATTCACCAGGCCTCTAGTATTTTATGTTGTTTTTTTGTTAGTGCTGGTTTTTGTTTATTTGATATATTAAAGAAAATACAGGTCTGAGGTGGTATTTCACTGTGGCATGGTTGTGCATTTCTCTAATGATTGGTGATGTTGAGCACCTTTTCATGTGCTTGCCAGACATTTGTATATCTTCTCTGAAGGAATGTCTCCTCAAATCCTTTGCTTATTTAATCAGTTTTGTTTGTTTGTTTTTTAGTTATAAGATACCTACCCTTTATCAAGTTTATAATTTGTAAATATAAATTTCTATTGTATGAGTTGCATATTTACTCTGATGATGGTATCCTATTTATGCTCCAAATTTTTATAAAGTCCAATTTATCTCTTTTTTTTCTTGCCTGTGCTTTTAGTGCCATTTCAAGAAATTATTGCCAAATTCTATTTCATGAAGTTTTTCCCTTTTGTTACATTCTAAGACATTTATAGTTCCCACATTTTTATATAGGTCATTGATCCATTCTGAGTTAATTTTTTTATGTGGTGTAAGATAGGGCTGAACTTTGTTTACTTCCATGTGGATATTTGTTTTCCCAACATTATTTGTGGTAAGCCTTTTCTTTCCCCATTGAATAATCTTGGCACCCTGTTGGAAAACATTTAACCATATATGTGAGGGTTTATTTGTGAGGTCTCTATTCTATTTCATAGGTGTATATGTCTATCATTATGCCAGAACCACAGTTTTATTACTGTAGCTTTTACTAAGGTTTGGAATCAAAAAGTGTATGACCTCCAACTTTGTTCTGCTTTAGGATGATTTTTTTTTTTTTTTTGGTGAAAAGAAAATGTATTGGGATTCTGACAGAAAATGAATTAAATCTGTAGAATGCTTAGAGTAATGTTATTATGTTAAAAATATGAAGTCCTCCAGCCCATGAACATTGGATAGCTTTCTTATCATTTCAGTCTTCTTTAATATCTACCAGCTATGTTTTCTAGTTCTCAGTGTACAAATCTTTCACCAACTTAGGTTTATTTATACCAGGGTGGACAAAAGTAGGTTTATTCTGATATTATTTATTCATTGTAGTATTCTTTATTATGGTTATTAACTTGCTTTTGCTCATCCCTGTAAATATTGTATTTTTTGGTGCTATTTTAAATAAAATTATTCTCTTAATTTTTTTCAGAGTGCTTACTGCACGTTTTTGAAAACACAATTGATTTTCCTGTGCTAATGTTGTACTCTGCAGATTTTCTGAATTTTTTTATCAATTGTAATGATTTTTTTTGTGGCATTGTCAGGGTTTCCTACATATAAAATTATGTCATCTATGAACAGATAATTTTACTCTTTCCTTTCCTAATTGGATTTTTTTTCTTGTCTAGTTGCTCTGGCTAGAATTTCCAGCACCTTGTTTCATAGAAGTTGCAAAAGTCAGCACTCTTTTTTTGTGGCTGATCTTGGGGAATAATTCCACCTTTCCCATTGATTATGATGTTAGCAGAGAGATTTACATATGTGGCTTTTACTATGTTATAATAGTTTTTTCTTATTAGTTTGTTGAACACTTTGTATAATGAGATGTTGAATTTTATAAAATGCTTGTTTCAATTTATGCAATCATGTGTCTTTTTCTCATCATTGTATTCATGTGTTAGTCTGCATTGATTTAATTTTATGTGTTAAACCATCCTTATTTTGGAGGAATAAATCCTACTTTGTCACAGTGTATAATTCTTTTTTAAAATTTTATTTTAACTTTTACAATATGCAAAATAAAACTATTACAAGATTGTAGATACGAAATAATTAGCCATTTATATCCAATAAACATTAGTATTTTAAGAAAAATGATTTTAAATATAATAATGTTACTTTTAATATGATTCTGAATTTAATTTGTTGAGTTTTACATTGTTCATATGGGATATTGGATTGTAGTTTACTTTCTTCTTTAAATTGATTTTAGAGAGAGAGAAAGGAAAGGGGAGAGAGAGAGAAAGAGAGAGAGAGAGAGAGAGAGAGAGAGAGAGAGAGAGAGAGAAATGTTTGTGTGAAAAAGAAACACTGATAAGTTGACCCAGTGTGCGCCCTCACCAGGGAACAAACCTGCAACCTGGGCATGTGCTTTTACTGGCTGACAGAGAATCAAGCCTGTGACCCTTCCATGCATAGGACGATGCTCAAACAACTGAGCCACACTGGCCAAGGCTGTAGCTTACTCTTTTTTGTAGTGTCTGTGTCAGTCTCCAGTATTAGAATAAAACTGGTTTCATAGTAATTGTTAAAAAGTAATTTCTCATCTTGAAACTTTCAGATGACTTTAAAAATTATTGATATTCATTATTCTTTCAATATTTGGTATAATTTACCAGTGAAGTGATCAGAGCCAGATGGTTTTTTATTTTGTTAAAGCTTTTGTATTGCAATTGCTCTGTTTGAAGAATCACCTCTTAGAAACATTGATTTTTTTCTATTGCTTTTATCTCTTTATTTTGTTTATCTTTACTCTGATACTTATTATGTAATTTATTTGATCATTCTATTTTCCCTTAGTTAATCTAGCTAATTTATCAATTGTATTGATCTTTTTGAAGAAGATTAATACTTTTGGTTTTATTGATTTTTTTATTCTTTATTTTGTTTACCTATACTTTAATCTCTGTTATTTCCTTCAGCTAGCTTTGGATTTAACTTATTATATTTTTCTAGTTTCTTAAAATAAAACTTTATATTATTGATTTGAAATATTATTCTTTAATGTGAGCTTTTATAGCTATAAATGTAACTTAGCACTGTTTTTGCTGCTTTAACCCTGTTTTAGTATGTTGAATTTTTAATTTTTGTCTTAAGATATTTTCTAATTTCCCATTTACTTTGTCTTTTACCCACTTGTAAAGATTACTAATATACACATATTAGTAAATTTTCCAGTTTCTTTCATCTTTTGATTTTTAGTTTCATTCCTTTGTGATAAGAAAAAAATATTTTGTTATATTTAAGACTTTAAATATATTAAAATTAGTTTTGTAGTCTAACATATAGTCTATCTTTGTGATTTTTCCATGTGTACTTGACAAAATGTATATTCCATTGGTATTGGCTGGAGTGTTTTATTTCTTACATTTTAGAAACCGTTTTTTTTTCCCTTTTTGTCCCTCATTTTCTCCATTACCATCTTTTTTGTTTATTTATTTAGTGGACTTTTTGTAGTGGCACCTATTGATTCCCTCCTCATTTCCTTTTATGTATTTACTATAGATATTTTTCTATTTGGTTGCCATGTGAATTATATGTAATATTCTAAAAGTATAATAATCTGTTTTAACTGATAACCTTTTGCATACAAAATGTGCTCATTTATAGTTCCAGCACCCTGCTTATGCAACATATTATTTTTACAAGAAAGAGTTATTGCTATTATACATTTATTTTTAAATCATGTAAAAATTGTAAAATAGCACTACAGAACAAAATTTCAATGATCTTGGGTTTTTATATGTTACTATGTATTTACTTTACTGGAGATATTATATTTTCATATGTCTTCAAGGTACTGTTTACTTTCTTTCCATTTCACTTGAAGAATTCCCTTCAGAATTTTTTGGTGAGGCAGATCTATTGGCAATAAACTTCTATAGATTTTGTTTTGCTCAAAATATCTTAATTTCTCCTTCATTTCTGAATGACAGTTTTGTAAGATACAGCATATGATTTTTGGTCTACTATTTTTTTTTTCAGAATTTTAAATGTATCACCCACTGTCTTCTGTACTGTGAGTTTTCTGCTGAGAAATTCTCTAATGATCTTATTGCAGATTCCTGTACATGATGAGTCACAGTATTTTTTTCTGCTTTCAAGATTCTTTCTTAATCTTTAGTTTTTGACAGTTTGAATATAATATAAATTAGTACTGATTGTATTCAACTTGGAGATCATTGATCTTCTTGGATTTGTTCATCAAATTATTTTTTCAAATTTGGGAAATCCTAAACAATAACATTTTCAAATGATCTCTCTACTCCTTTTATTCTATATCTTCCTGGTAGCACTCCCAAAATGTATATATGGGTCTACTTGATGATGTCCCATAAACCCCCTAGCCTCTGTCAAATACAATAATTTCAAATTACCTGTCTCATAGTTGGTCAATGCTTTCTTCTTCCTGTTCAAATCTGTTATGGATCACCTCTAGTAAATTATTTGAATTTAGTTATGCTATTTGCCACTCTAGAATTTCTCTTTGGCTCTTTAAAAAAGTTTTTAATCTTTGTTGACATTCTCATTTTTTAATATATTGTTTCCCTGATTTATTTTAGTTATTTTCTGAGTTTTTCTTTAGCTCTTTAAGCATATTTAAGACAGTTGTGTTAAAGTCTATGTGTAGTAAGTCTAACGCCTGTGTATATTCAGGGTTTCTGTGATTTCATCTGTCCCTTTGAATGAGACATGTTTTTCTATTTCTTTATATAACTTGTGATTTTTTTGTTGTTGTTGTCAAAAATAAGACATTTGAACAAAAAAGCAACTTTTCCTAGTCTTTGCCATTTTGTAGGAATGACCTTGATTAATTAACAGGGTACATTTTGAGACTGGGGATCAAACTAGGGTGAAACTTAGAGATCGTCTCATGTTATTTTTCTAAGCAAGTATCATGCCTGAGACTATGTCTCTAACTTTTTTCCATTTCCCCAAATGCATAGCTGTTTTGAAATGTCTTAATTTCCCACAATTTCTCATTCTTGTTGGCACTTTAAATGTTCTAGAATATTTTCTTATGCCTAGTCCTTTGCTGCAGGTGTCAGTGGGTTTGCATTTCTCCTTTCAGCTATAATGAGGTAGATCCACTATTTCCTATGTCTTTTCATGCCTGGGAACTGAATTATGGAATAGTTTACCATATGAGCTCTAAACAATGAAAAAAAGTATTGCTTGGGGCAGCACATAGCACATTAGAACCTTGCAAATAAGGTCCTTTCTAGTTCGTCCAACCCAAGTGAGGAAACAAAATCTCAACCATTTCCTACCAACCACTAGACACATGAGAATCTTTCTGTTTTTATGACTTCATAAATAGTTATGCTGAAAGCATCCTAATAGCAAAGATGTTTATTTTAAATCATAGATAACAATATTCATATTATAATCATATAGAAAATAATCAAATTTTAACAAAATAATCTCTTTATATTTACAGATTATTTGGTCTTCCTCTTACCTCATTGGCTGTGGTGTGTCATCATGCTGCAAAAAATCGGCACCTCAGTTCCTCTATGTTTGTCACTATTGCCATGAGTATGTATTATACAGTCTGGGTTCACATAGCTTTTATTCTAGTTCCTTAAACAGAGAATAAAAATTAAATAAATATTACATTTCAGTTATTTAGCTATTCCTAAAACATTGCACACACACACACTCACAAACACACACACATGTTTCTTTACAACCTATTTTTGTAAATAATTCTATATATCACTAATAGAATATTTAAATCCAGAAATATTACAAGTAGTCTTACTATGTGTTATTGGGCTAGCTTAAGTAAAAAACAGGGATATTTACTTCAACAATGCAGAGTATTTTTATAATGCAAGGGCAGAAATACAATGGAGTATCGAGAATAAACAGAAAAAGCCAAGTGTTCTTATCTTTAGCTTTTTAGTATAACTATCGATGTATGTCTTTTCTTTAAAAATTAAGTTTATATATTGCCAACAGTGTGAGTGCCAATTCCTAGAAGAAATAATCTGATTGCTTTAGTGAAGGCAGATGTGCTCCTTTGTCCCATGGTATTTTGCCACTGTCTCCCATATTTGTAGCACAATAAAAAGATGTTTAATATGAACTAATGAAAATGATTTAGCTGATCATATGCTATCACCTTTACACTTTAAATGATGTCTCCAAAATCACTGTAGAGTCAATTTATATAACATCTTATACAATAAAACATAATATGCTAAGTGTTCGACCAATTGGTCGACTGTTGGGTCGACTACTCGACCAATTGCTATGATGCACACGGGCCACCAGGGGACAGACTCTCCAACTGGCAGGTTAGCTTGCTGCTGGGGTCCGGCCCATCGGGCTTGGTGAGAGGGCCGGACACACCCTGGAGCCCTCTCACGGTCCCTCTCTGGCTGGCTGGCCAACCTCCTATGGTCCCTCCCCAGCCTCCATTGGCCCTGATCTGTACTGGGCAAGATGGTCCCGATCAGCGGCCAGGCTGAGGGACTGCACCTGTGCATGAATTCGTGCCCTGGGCCTCTAATATTCATATAATAGGTCCATGTGAGTTATTTCTGGTCTTATTATATCTTTATTTTAGTAGTTAGTATTTGCTGTGATTTTTTTTTTTATCTATGCAGTTAGTGCTGAGAAAAATATTGGTCTGCTTGCATTTAAAAGCCATAAATTGTGCTAAATCTCTGAAGGGGTTGGTGGTCTGTGCTGAACTGCTGACAATACAAAACGAAGTAGAAAGCATGGAGTTGTGATTGAAAAATTTTCTTAGCAAAAAGATTTCATGGTGTATCTGACAAGATCCCTTACTGAATTAAGTAATAAAAATATTTTATATGGTAAATTTTTTAACAATGTATAGATCAAGGAGAATATTAGATAGAATATTAGATATTAGATAGAATGTTCTTTCAGCCAAAACATTTGCTTTACTTTTTAAGTGTTAGATGAAGTAAGAATCAACTTAATCTTTCTTAAGATATCTGCAGGCAAACCTGTCTTTTAAATTATCTCAGAACTGGAAAGTCTTACCTACTCACTCTATCCTCCAGATCTTTAGGTTGAGTAAAATATGGTGTACTTTTACTTTGTATAATACTTCATCTGTTTCTATAAAAGACAGTAACATGTTTCAATTTTCTTATCACATAGTGCAAGATAAATTTAGAACAACTCCACTCAAAACTTTTCACATTGTTAAGAACCATGTACTTTCATGTGACTATTTATCAAGTACTTAGGGGTATAAAGAAAAATTTCCTATTGTAAATGGCTCTAAAGTCATTCTGCTTAGGACTTGACTGTTCAAAGAGGTACAAACTGCCTCAAAATATTCTTAGGACAGCAGAATTGCCTGTTGCACATTTAAAAAGATAAATTTTCATTGTACAACTTACAAAGTCTAGAAATACTAAACTCATCTAAAAGATTAACATTGTTATATACAAGTGGTTTTCAAAAATTGTCTTTAAAGTTGATAGTAAATAGAGAGTACATTTTATATGTATTTTTCAAACTTCAAATTTATTAGACCACTTTTTCTTTTTTCTTAAGGGGAAATGATCCTGAACAATTGGGTATGCCTTATGTAATAGGAAATCCATGTGAAGATTGTCCAAAGAACTGTGAAGACGAACTTTGTAGTAAGTTTTACATCCCAGTTTGCTTAATATTGACCATTGATTTGATTCAATTTAGTTGCAGATATAGGAAATTTTAACAATTTCACCAAAATCTGTTGGTATTCACAATTGAATTCAGTAAAGTTGCAAGATACAAGACATTATACCAAACTTAGTTGTAATTATACTCACAAATAATGATCAGAAAAAAAATTTAAAAAGCAGTCCTAGTTACAATTACAGCGAAAAATAAAATACCTAAGCATAAATTTATTCAAGACAGTAAAAGATCTATATACTGAAAATTATAATACATTGATGAAAAAAATGAAGACACAAATAGAAAATATATTATCTACTTATGTGTTATAAGAATTAATATTGATAAAATGTACACATTACCCAAATCTATCTACAGACTTAATGTAATCTCTATCAAAATTCCTTTAGCATTTTTCACAGAAATATCACTATCAATATTAAAAATTTGTATGAAACCACAAAAGACCCCAAACAGCCAAAGCAATCTTAAGGGGGGAAAATAAACCTGAATTCAAACTATATTACAAACTTTAGTCATCAAAGCAGTATAAAACTGACATAAAAACAGACACATCGATCAATGGGACAAAGGAGAGAGCCCAGAAATAAACTGATGCATTTTTAGTCAATTAATTTACAACAAAGGATCCAAATATACACCAGGGGAAAGAATAGTCTCTTCAATAAATGGTGGTCAAAAAACTAGACATGCAAAGGAATGAAACAGGACCACTATCTTACACCATTTACAAAATTAACTCAGTGAGGAATAAAATCTTGAGTGTAAAACTTGAAACCGTAAAACTCCTAGAGGAAAACATGAAGGTAATTTTCTTGATATCGGTCTTGGCAACGACTTTTTAAATTTAATACTAAAAGCAAGGCAACAAAAATAAACACATGGGACTACATCAAACTAAAAAGTTTCTGCACAAAAAAAAAAAGCCATCAACAAAATGAACAGGCAACCTACAAAATGGGAGAAAACATTTGCAAATCATATATTTGACTTAGGGTTAATATCCAAAATATATAGAGAGCTCATACAACTCAATAGCAAAACAAAACAAAACAACAACAACAACAAAATAATCTGAGTTAAATATGGGCAGAGGAATGAAATAAATATTTTCCAAAGAAGACAGTAACTGTCCTGGACCCTCTGATACTCTGTCGTATCAGGTACATGAACAGACACTTAACATCACAGGTCATCAGAAAAATGCAAATCAAAACCACAATGAGTTATTACCTCATGCCTATTAGAATGGCTATTATAAACAGACGAGAGATAAGTGCTGGAGAGGATGTGGAGAGAAGGGAGCCCTTATACACTGTTGATGGAAATGTAAATTGGTGCGGTGACTTTGGCAAATAGTATGGAGAGTCTTTGAAAAATTCACAACGGAACTATCATGTGATCCAGCAACTCTACTTCTAGGTATTTATCCAAAGAAACTGAAAACACTAACTCAAAAAGGTATCTGTTCATTGTTAGCACCAATAGCCAAGACATGGAAACAACCTGTCTACTGACAGATAAATTGATAAAGAAAATGCGATATACTAATCAGCCATAAAGAAAAGCAAACGCTGCCATTTGCAAAAGCATGGGTGAACCTTGAAGACATTATGTTAAATGAGATGAGTCAGACAGGGAAAGATGAATAATATATTACCTCACTTATATGTGGAATCTAAAAGAGTCCAAACTCATAACAGAGAATAGATCGGTGGTTTTCAGAGGCTATGAGATGGGGTGAGGGAAGAATGAGTTAAGGTGATTAAAAGGCATAAAATTCCAGTTAGAGAAAGAATAAATCTGGGCATGTAATGTGCAGCATTTTGCCAATAGTTACAAATGATGTATTGTATATTTGAAAGTTACTAAGGGAGTAAATCCTAACAGTTCTCATCAGAAGAAAAAAAACTATGTAAGGTTATGAATGCTACCTAAACTAATTGTCAATCATTTCACAGTATACTGGTATACATACATCATAATATTGTGTTGTACACCTGAAATGAATACAATGTTCTATATCAATTATATCTCAATAAAACTAGGGAGAGTAAAGAATAAAAGAAAAAATAATAAAAACAATTTAGAGAAGTCAAAGAAAAACATGTTACATAAAAAAAAATACATATCTCTCACATCATATTTCTCTAAAATACTACATAGCAGAAGACAGTGGAATAATGATAAATAGCTGATTTAAAGAAACATTGATATAGATATGTGCTTGTTCATAGTATAGAGCCCACTGCCTTTTTATATAAGAAAATCTCTGGGTAAAGAGGTTATTTGAGAAATTTTGCTATTCTGTGTGTGGATTTTATACGATTTTTACATTGGCCATGTATGACTTTTTTTTTCACTAACAATGCTAAATGACTTACACTTTCTCATTTCAAAGCTCATTACAAAGCTATAGTAATCAGAGTGATGCTGGTTTAACAGACAAGTGCCAATGGAATAGTATAGAGAGCCCAGAAACAAACCCTAGCATATATGGGTGTATATTAATTTTAATAATCCAAAGCAATTCCTTACTATCAAATGGTAGAGCATCATATAAGCAGAATACAACACATCAATAAAACTTTATTATATATAGTTTATGATGTTGATGATCTCAAAATGATTCATCTCCAATCGGCTTAGATATGTCTGACCAAAAATAAATAAATAAATAAATAAATAAATAAATAAATAAATAGTGATTAAAACAACCTGTTTAATGTCAGAGGTGACTTTCATCTTTTTTTTTTCTTTAATGACTGACCTCATTTAATTCATCAACTGTTTTCCATTCTAATTAGTTCATGATAATCAAAATTAATAAGCTATTGTTGGTCAATTTTATGTTTATGTCTTTAGGAGCTGCCCTCTTTCCCCACTGATTGTGATTGTGTGAGATAACATTGCTTTTTCCGTTCAGCTAACCCCTGCACCTATTATGATGAATACATTGACTGCCATATACGGAAAATGGTTCCTGGATGCAGCGCCCTGTCAGTCACACTACAATGCAAAGCCACTTGCTTTTGCACCACTGAGATCAAGTAACCTTGGTGACAGAGCTGTAATATGCTGTTAGTGAAATGTCCGCTGCCTTGTACCTTTCTCCTTACTTTGCTTCAGTAGCTGTTGCTGAATTTCATTTGGTTTTCATTATACTTGAGATCCTTATTTTCATTAATCATACATCGGCCTCAGATATTTGCACCAATGCCACCCACTCCTGTCCTGCTACACCCTGAAGGAACATCGTTTTATTTCTTACTCCTGGAGTGAAAGGTCCAGTTAACACCTGCCCCATATTTACATCACGCGAGTTAGTGTTCGTAGATTGACAAAGTCCAGTTGATGGCATAACTGGCTTCCTCTTTCTCTGTTTAATTCCTTCCCCTGCTTTCTCACATCTCCAACAAACCTGGTGTTTGTCTTCTCTGCAAACGTACCTGAACTAATAATTCTTCACTTCGCAACTTTACTTCTATGTTAGTTAAATCGATCATTAAAGTAATTTACAAAGCAAACAAAGAGTCCAGGCTCATTAATTGCAAGGTAAATATTGCCTCATTGCAAGTGGTTTAAATGTCTTATTGTTTCACTGTTTTAACTATACACATGGGTAAAGCAGGAAAAAACCCATGTGCCCTTAAAAAATATGGATTCAGCACTGATTATATACAAAGCGTAATTCATAAATACAGAGGGTATTGCTTCCTCATTTCAAATAAAGATGTAAATATTCCTGATCTGAACATTAAAGAAATTAGTGAAAGTGTATTGTATGGCTACCCAGAGAGCCCAGTACCTGGTATTTTCTTTTCAGTTTCAGGATATTTTCTATAACTGTGCTCTTCCTTTCTTAAAGTTTATATAAAGAAGAAAAAATCCATAAAAATTTCACTTTAGGATATTTATCCAAAGAAAACAAAAGCGCGATATGGCAAAGTTATATGCACGCCCTTGTTCATTGCAAAATTATTTACAATAGCCAAACATGGTGGAGGGAAGCCTATGTCCATTTACAGATAAATGTGAAATATTTATGCAGTGGGTTACAACTTAGCCATAAAAGGGGATATCCTGTCATTTGCCACAATATGGAGGGCTCTGGAGGCCATTAGGCTAAGTGAAATAAGGCAGATGTAGAAAGACAAAATATTTTTTGGTCTCACTTCTTTGTGGAACCTAAACAAACAAACAAACAGAAATCAAACGTATAGAAAAAGAGATCCCATCTGTGGTTACCAGAGGCATGGGATGGGAATTGGAGAAAGGTGGCCAAAATACACAAAGTTGTAATTATAAGATAGAAAAGTACTGGGGTGCCATGTACAACCTCATGATTATCATGAACACTGCTACTGTATGGTGTAGTTGAAACTTGCTGGGAATGTGGATCTTAAAAGTTCTCATCACCAGGGAAAAAATATGCAACTATTTGAAGGGGTTGATGTAAGCTAAACTTATTATAGGGATCATTTCACAATAGATGTGTTCCAAGTCATTATACAGTGGTACACTGCACCAGGGAAGAGGTAAGACAGTTGGCCATGGGTAAGATAGTTTAGAGAGATCAGACAATAGAGCTGGTCAGGACTTCCCGCTGCGGGGGGCAGGGGTGGGAAAGTGCAGAAAGGGACCTATGTCTTGCCTCACAGCGTACTTGGATGCAGCTATCTTTGAGAAAGCCAGATACATTAAAGTTCCAAGCATTTGGCAACCTGGCTGTCACAGACAAGATTTCCTTATCAATGAGCACAATGCTCTCCCCTTTGCCAGGAGATCTTATGCCTTGCATAGGTGTGCGCTGTCTGTTCTATTCCTTCAGTCATATATAGCATTAACAGAAATATGTCTTTTGGCATGAAGTAATTAAAAGCCGCAAAACCATGTGTGTTTTTTTCCTCTGTTCCAGGCTCAGTTACTTAATCCATCTCATGGCTTAGAGAAGTCATTCACGTGAAAGGATAATTCTAAGAAATGACCACAAGATGGCAGTATATGAACGTTAGTTAAACTTTTGAGGCCAAGGAAATGAATCTGATAAATATACTAAAATTATTTGAAAGAGTAGCTTTACTTTACTCAACTATAAGCTATTATGCAAATTATTTGAATGATTTGCATAATAGCTTATAGTTCAAAACAAAACAAAAAAGACCTCCACACTCCGCAATAAATAGTAGTCCTTTAAGTGGATGCACAATGAGAAGATGACAGTGGTTAGGAGTGTATGTGTCCCATGCCTGCAGAGTTCTCCCTTTCGTCTTATTTGTAGAACAGCTGTTGCTGCCATCTACCTGATAACATAGCTACCTCAGTTTCCTCATTTTCAAATGGAGATAGTAATAGTAACTCCCTTATAGAGTTTCCAGGAGGATAAAGGAAGTGATGACATACAGAATTTGTAACATCCTGGCGTTTTGTGTTAACTCTTAATTTTTATTATTCACCATTTTCAATTGAAATGCCTGACACTATGCTTGCTTTTAATCAAAACTGTCATTTATTAATTGTGCACATACTACAAGATTTGGCCTTCACAATTGTGTATTGCATGGAGATTTCATTAAAACTTTGGAACACAGTTTGCATGTGAATAATGGGTCACACTTAGAAATGCAGAAACTGAGATACAAGGAGATTAAATAACATGCTCCAAGTAAAACTGCGAATACATGGCTGGAATAGATTTCTAACCCGAGTCTAATTCCTGGAAGCATTTCCTTCAACTCTTTACTACATTTGAAAGAACAGCCGTGTCAGAAAGTGAATACCAAATTTTGATTTTGTGAATTCAGTGGCTGATACATTACCTTCAATGTTTTTCTTTCAATTAGAATATTTAAGAATAATCTCATTATTTAATTTTTATTTTATAAATTAAGGATATTGCTAGCTTTAGAGTTTTAGAAAAAAGTAAACCAGGATTTTATCATAGGAATTTTAGTAAGACCATGTGCTGGGTTATTATTCTTTCCCTGTAGAATAGGAGTGAAGATGCTGCACAAAATGCCAGAATGTTGTCAGAACAGTGTGCACTCACAGAGGACAATGCAAAGGAGTAGAAAACTATAAGTACATATATGTCTATATGATGTGCTCACAAACCACCGGGGATTACTAAGTATCCTGGCAATGATGATTTAAGTCATCCAGGCCCTAATCAGAGGCAATGTTGCAAGACACACCTCAGCAACATCCATCAGGGACCTTTGAAAACACAAGGTTTATACTCACAAGTCTTGGTGGGTACATGAAATGCCTGGGGCCACTTGCCTCTTTATCTAGTTGTACAGCTAGTTGGCATTGTGTTTATTCCAGATGAATGCCTCTGAAGTGGATGCCCCAGTGATCAAAGGCTTAGATAAGGGCAGCTGATATTATAATCAAAGAAGTTAATAGTCATCTCGTGGGTGTGGCTCAGTGGTTGAGTATCAACCTTTAAACCAGGAGGTTATGGTTGGATTCCTGGTCAGGGCACATGAACAAGTTTTGGGCTTAACCCCTAGTAGGGGGCGTGCAGGAGGCAGCCAATCAATGATTCTCATCATTGATGTTTCTATATCTCTATTCCTTCCCATTCTTCTCTCTAAAATTAATCAAATGTATCCTATCTAATAAAAGAGTAATATGCAAATTAACCATCACTCCATCACAAAGATGGCGGCGGCCATGGAGCTGGAGCGAGCAGGAGGCTTGGGTTGCCCCCGGCAATGGAGGAAGCCAAGCTTCCCGCCAACCCCGCCAGCACTGAGCTCCACTCAAGGCTACAAAGTTTCAATTATAGAAGAAAAATAAATCCCAGATACCTGCTTCCAACCATCCTGGCCTCCGCTCAAGGAGGGGTGGGGAGCCTGGGTTGCCAAGGGGCAACCCAGGCTTCCTGTGGACCTGGGTTTTGCTCAAGGCTACAAAGTTTCAATTATAGAAAATAAATAAATCCCAGATACCTGCTGGAAAAAAAAAAGAAAGAAAAAAAGGAGAGGCTGGGAGCTTGGGTCACTGGGGGTCATGGCCAGCTTGAATACGACCATCAGCCCCTCATCCTGGCTGACCAGGCACCCCAGAGGGACCCCCCCACACCTTGAAGGGGCTGTGGCCAGCCTGAAAACAGCCCTCAGCCTCTCACCCAGGCTGGCCAGGGACCCCAGTAGGGACCCCCACTCTGAAGGGGGTGTGGCCAGCCTGAAAACGGCCAACAGCCCCTCACTCAGGCTGGCCAGGCACCTCAGCGGGACCCCCACCCTGATCCTGCATACCCTTCAGGGCAAACCATCTGGTCCCCACCCATGCACCAGACCTCTATCCTATATAATAAAAGGGTAATATGCAAATTGACCCTAACAGCAGAAAGACTGGGAATGACTGGTCACTATGACACACACTGACCACCAGGGGGCAGATGCTCAATGCAGGAGCTGCCCCCTGATGGTCAGTGCGCTCCCAAGAGGGAGCTCTGCTCATCCACAAGCCAGGCTGCCGGCTGCCAGCACAGCGGTGGTGGAGGGAGGCTCTCCTGCTTCCTCAGCAGCGCTAAGGATGTCCAACTGCAGCTTAGGCCTGCTCCCCGCTGGCAAGTGGACATCCCCCGAGGGCTCCCATGCTGCCAGAAGAATGTCTGACTGCCAGCTTAGGCCAGATACCCTGGGGAGCGGGCCTAAGCCAGCAGGTGGACATCCCCCGAGGGGTCCCAGAATGCGAGAGGGCACAGGCCGGGCTGAGGGACCCCCCTGGGTGCACAAATTTTTGTGCACCGGGCCTCTAGTTTTAAAAGAAAGTTAATTGTTAGATGACCACACTACAGTTACAAATAAAAAATTACAACAATATTTGAAAAAAATATATTTTTAAAAATACTAAGTGTATAGTTCAGTAAGTACTTTAACATTTTTGGGCAATCATTACCACAATACACCTCCAGAATGTTCATCTTTCAAATCTGAAACTGTACATATTAAAGAGTAACTGCATAATTGGTCTTTCTTCCCTCAACCCCTGCAGACTGCCATTTTACCCTGTCTCTATGAATTTGACTGCTCTAGGTACTT